TCTTGCCTATCGCGTACAAAGTTAAGTTAGCAATTTTTTTTTTTTTTATTATTATTTTAAAGCATGTAACTGCTTGATGTTTAAATCTAAAGAAAATATAACTAGAAAAAAATCCACGCGGACCAGGCAGCAGACGGGACTCGAACCCGCACCCTTCGCAATCCGGGCGAATGCACTGACCAATTATGCTACCGCAGCCCTCACGGACCGCGTCGAAATTCTTCTAGCCATTCTTAATCTGCAAGGCAGCGCCATCTCTTCGCATTATAGGTAACCCACAATGTCAAATGAATACTTTTACAAGTATTAAACATTTGAAAGAAGAAATAGCAATTATAGTTATATTTTTTTTTTATTATTTTAAAGCATGTAACTGCTTGATGTTTAAATCTAAAGAAAATATAACTAGAAAAAAAAATCCACGCGGACCAGGCAGCAGACGGGACTCGAACCCGCACCCTTCGCAATCCGGGCGAATGCACTGACCAATTATGCTACCGCAGCCCTCACGGACCGCGTCGAAATTCTTCTAGCCATTCTTAATCTGCAAGGCAGCGCCATCTCTTCGCTATTTCTTCTTTCAAATGTTTAATACTTGTAAAAGTATTCATTTGACATTGTGGGTTACCTATAATGCGAAGAGATGGCGCTGCCTTGCAGATTAAGAATGGCTAGAAGAATTTCGACGCGGTCCGTGAGGGCTGCGGTAGCATAATTGGTCAGTGCATTCGCCCGGATTGCGAAGGGTGCGGGTTCGAGTCCCGTCTGCTGCCTGGTCCGCGTGGATTTTTTTTCTAGTTATATTTTCTTTAGATTTAAGTTAGCAATTTTAGGTGAGCAATATGGTAAAGCTGAATATATTGAACAAAGATTACGTACGTACCCAACTCGCTTATCGCGAAAGGTTACCATGGTTGTTCCTAAAATAAAGAATTATTATGGAAAACGTGAGTTGCGCTATATGGTTCCCACTCTAATTAACGAATTGCCGCAAAATTTATTAAAAGATGTTTTGTCTAAAAATAGTTTAAAGTGTAGACTAAAAAAACACTATCTGTCCCTCTGTCCATGATCCTTGTGATGTTGTGAGCGGAGGTGAGGTGGGCTGGATATCCACCTCGTTTTCGTTTACAATAGCTTATATTATGTTATAGTTTATTGTGGTATGTATCTTTTATATAATAACATATATAATGTGTGCAGTGCAATGCAGTCACAGTCGCAATATAGAACGCAATGTATGTGTTGCATAATTGCATATTACAGTATAATCAACTACTAGCTTAGTGTTAGAAAATAAATATATATATAGGTTATTTTATTTTTTAAGTTGTAAGGGAACTGCTGCCGACAAACTGTGTTGCAGTTTGGCAGTCTTAGCATAAAATTTGTAACTTTTTTTTTGAATACAAATAAATAAAAAAAAAAAAACATCCTAATGATTTATTTATTTATCTTTCTCAGTGGTAGTGTCCTATTTCATGGGCATTTTGACAACGCCATTCTTATATGGGGTCTTTTTTTAAAAAAAATAGATTTTGTTTCCGGTTTCGAAAACAGAAACATTTGTTTTTATTAGGCAACCGGACCTGAAAAAATAAATATATTTCTGTTTTCGAAATCGGTTTCAAAAAAAGAACTATAATTATTTTCTCCAAACTGGTTTCGAAAACGTCCGCAGGGTTTTTCTTAGCATAAGTAGAGTTAAGCATTTGTTTCCCGTGGTCCACCTCGTAGTCCACCCAGGCGAACCACGGAGATTATTTTTTCCAGTGGTCTACCCGCATAGCTGTTACTGTTTCTAACAGTAAATTATGGATGTTCTTATGAACAAAATAGCATTAAGATTTTTTTAAAATCGCGTAATTTTTAAAATCATTTAATTAGCGGAGTTTTTCTAAAGCGATGCCTATAGATATATCGTTGTTAATTAAATGCATCTGAATATCTTTTATATAATCATCGTTTTCAATTTATTTGCGCCTTTTTAATTTTGCAATTCTTATTGTGCTCAAGACACTCAAGAGCCGTAATAAATTGAGGAAGAGTCAGGTGGACCACGGGTAAAAATTATTTCCCGAGGTTCAACCAGGTAGACTACGGGGGGGAAAATACCCATGGTCCACCTGATGAACCACGAGGAATAAATAATCCCCATGGTCCACCTGGGTGGACTACGAGGTGGACCACGGGATACAAAGGGAGTTAAGGATACATTTGTTGCATCCAAATATTATTGTCGAATTTAGACTGTATCCGACTCATTATTTTCGTTTAATAATATCTATTGCCCTGTTCACGCTTTTGGTTTTCCTGTAGGTACTATCAGGAATCATATGAATTCGGTAAAATTGTTATCAAGCCCACGCTACTTATTAATGTTGCTATAATATGAGAGGTAAGCCACTGATTTCCTGCTCGAATTAAAGCACCTCTGCCTCGAGAAGTAACAAGCACTTTACAGAAGAGCGTAATGAAATAACACTATCTTTTGGTGGTGTTTGTGACTGTTTGAGATACTGGTTTCAGAGTTTGAGTTTAGTAGAGTGAGGTTAGCTGTAGCGGCAAATAGCGGAACACTTTTCTGCCGCATCAGCTGTCTTCCCAACTGAATTCCAAATCATACTTAACATAACGTAAATTGGGGACATTTGCATAAAGTACTACATTCCGGAGAAGCCAAAAACTGATACTACATGTACACGAATCTGTTACGAGTAAGTACTCAGGATCTTGGGGTAAATATTTATTCGTGAGTGAGTTCGCCCAGAATCATAAAACTAAAAGAAGGAACGCGGCAGGTAATTTTATTTTATAATGACGTCGTCTATGCAATAAACAATAGAATACAATATTCAAGTAGTGACGGATTATGAACCTGTTTCACTTTTATATGGAATCGTTGAAAAACAAAGCTAATATCAGGTACTACCCAAACGATTTATAGTTCGTGACGTGGTAAACGGCAAAAGGTGAAGATATTAATAAAGTTAAGTTAAAATCTTAAGCAATTAAAGTCATTTAATTTAATTTATAAGTAATATTCCACTTACCATCTGAGATGTGTATAAATAAACAAAATATACTTAACAGCACTGTAGCCTTCATAATTGTTACTGAACTACCTATGTGATACTACATTTAGTTAAATTACGTTCCTTGTAGGAAAAGGCTAAGCATGATTCATTATGACAGTTACAGGATAATTCCTGTATCAACATTATTGTAGTTTATTAAATTTATTTTAAGCATTTAACTGCAAATTGTTTTAATCTTAAGTTTGATCTAATTAAATTTATTATATAACTATATATATATATATATATATTTCTTCACAATTATTGTGAATAGTGAAAATGCAATGAAGAGACGCTTAATATGAAATGGCAATTTTAAGTTATTTCATTATAATTTTGCGTGTGAGATTTGGGGCTCTTAGAACTGAGCCTGGTCAGACTTTCAATTTTAAATATGTCACCATTTATTTCTGCATAACTTCATATTACTGAACAATAAATTCAATCCAAACGCTATTGTTTTCACTAATTTTGTGAAAGACAAAAGGCATATGATGTAGAAACAAGATAACATTTGACCGACCTGAAGGGCGTTTTAAAAATACAAATTTCAATGTTCAAGGCGTGTATTTTGTCCAGGGGTTGCCTAAGACTAATTTAATAACCAATTTATTCATAATTTTATAAATAATAAAAAGTCCACAGCTTATCTGCATCTGCTTTGCTAATAAAGCATCTAGAATTCAGACACTAAAATAGGCACAAAGAATTCACAGCTTATCTGCATCCGATTATTGAGAATTACAGCTAATGGCCACCATAGACGTTCAAGTAGTTTGATCAAACATGCTGGTTCACACAGTTTGATCAAATTGGCATGATCTTTCAAAAGAGCACACACGTTGTCATAGGCTTGAAGTTGTTATGTTCCTTTGAAAATTCATATTTATATCTTCAAGCCCTTTCTTTACTCTTAAGTTGAAACGTGAATTCTTTCTAAAATATATTATTTTCTGTAAAATCTTGACTACAACTATCACAGCATGTAATATCGATTTGAACCTTTCAGTAGCCATTAATTGTTTATCATTCGTGACTGATGAAATTGACTGACGTCTGCATGAGCGTCTAATGGACGCCTGACTACCTGCAGTCGGATACGATGACGTTGACGCAACCAGAGTTGGGTCATATATATTTCCACATCAATGGAATGGAATGGAGCAACGGTCTCAGGTATGTCAATTTCATAAATCTTTATATGGACTGAAACAGGCAAGCAGGTTATGGAATTCGAAACTGAATACTGTGCTGTAGGACATAGGTATGAAAAGGTCTAAATCTGACCCCTGTGTATATTTTAATGTAAACAAGAATATCTATATTGCTGTATGGGTCGATGATCTTATTTTATTTACTCCGAATAAAGTAGAAAAGGATATGATAAAGAACAGGCTCATGCAATACTCGGAGATGAAGGATCTAGGTGAAGCTAGCCAGTTCACCGATAACCAGAGTGCTATTAAATAGTCTTACAATGATTGTTATCTACCTTCTTCTAAGCATATCGATATCAGGTATAATTTTTTGAGAGAACATGTAAACAATGTAGACATAAAGTTTAACTATTGTAGAGGTGATGAAATGATTACAGATATACTTACCAAGGGGACAACAAACCATAAAAAATTTATTGTATAGCAAAAATGGGTTTGCGTTCAGGGGTGGTTGTTAGGAATGGAACGCAACCATGAATATTGTAGGTCTATTATTTAATCTGTATGAATTTCATATTTTTGCTGCTGTGCGGCGCTCACCCCGCTCTCTTACTTGCAAAACTGCATTGTAATGCTTCTTCTTAATTCAACAATAAATTACACGAATTAATACAAGCTTGATTTATTGCTACTATTCCTTCAGTTTTTTTTTCAACTATGCGTAATATGTGTGCTGCAATCTTAATTAGCATTATAATTTTGTTACCTTCATTTTGATCATTCTCTTTTGTTAGTTTGAATGAAATTGTAGATTTCGTTGGAACTCCCTCAGGGCTTGTATAGACACACTCTAAGTAACTCCCATTCATTTTCGAGAGTGAAAAATTATAGCGTTTTATGGTTAGACTTTGGGTGTTCCTTACAGTTGAACAGTTGGCATCTGTAAATAATAAGAAGGTGCAATCGCATAATATTATATTTGAATTAAGATTTTAATTTTTTATTATATTAACTAAGGTATTATCCGAGGAGCTCGATGGCGTAGGTGGCTAGCGCGTTCGGCTGCGATCGTTGAAGTTAAGCAACTTTCGCAGTGGTCGGTCATTGGATGGGTGACCAAAAATTTACTATCTCGAGCTCCTCCGTGCTTCGGAAGGCACGCTAAGCCGTTGGTCCCGGCTGCATTTGCAGTCGTTAGCACCCACCAATCCGCACTGGGCCCGCGTGCTGGGTCATGACCCAATCTCCCTATTCCATCCATAGGAAAGCCTGTGCCCCAGCAGTGGGGACATTAATAGGCTGATGATGAAGGTATTTTCCGCCGATAAAAACAAACAAACAACTGTGTGGGTTGTGATTTATTTGAGCATTATGTGAGGTAAGTATCTATAAAGTAAAAAATCTTGATCGTATGACCTAACCTAACCCAACCTATCCGCTTCCGTTGTCGTTTCACCATTTTTTTAGAGAACGAGGAGAAAAATCTTTTTTTTTCTATGACGGGGAGAAAAAATATTATATCCACGACAATGACCAACGCCGCGTTGGTCACGTTGGCGTGATACGTTCGGCAATCGGCGAGCAGCCTGAGGGCCGCTAGTCGGTGCGGGTATACTTTGACGTGCACTCACGCAAGCGTGGCATACGTCAAACTGCCCCGTCTCCGACCAGCAGTCGATCCTGTGCTTCTTCGTTCACAGCGTCACCTAACTAGTCTCATAGACGCAGTCCGAGCGGCTAGCCAGCCGACCAGCTCCCGTACCTACCAGGTAAACCAACTCCCCGATCTACATCTCACCCTCCAGTTGTAACTGCGGGATCCAGTTATGAGTCACCGCTTGATGAGAAAAGCCTAACTTATTCGTAGGTAAGGTGTCATTATCGATAACAATATAATTGACGATTTAATCTAACACGTCTGCTAGTTACAATACTACATAAAACTTTTGGGTTTTGTAAATAAGTGGCTATTTAGGAGGCAACTTCAGGCATCTAATGCATTGGGAGTTAACTAATACTCTACCAGGATCCGAACCCGGAACCTTTGGAGTAGAGGATAGGAACGCTGATTTACATAAAAAATCGTCTACATAACATTTTGTAAATTTGATGAACAGAGACACAAAATGCTCTCACTGGAATACTTGCGGTTGGGTAATTACCAAAAAATTTGGATGAAGATGATTAAATTTTTTATTGAATTACAATGAGAAAAGTTCGGAAATTATGAATGAAGAATTATATCTGGCAAATGTCGATTCTTTCATCAAAGTTTTTAATCACAGTTTGGCAAAATGGCGGGACTATGTCGTTAATCACATCACGAATTTTGAGTTTTAAGGCTGCAATCGATTCTAATGGCCCCGTATAGACTCTGTCCTTAACATAGCCCCACAAAAAATAATCTACTGGTAAATCACATGATCTGGCTGGCCACTTAACAGCTGAGTTTAGTAAAATTATGCGATCGGGAAATTTGGTTTGCAATAAATTGATCGTTTCATTGGCTGTGTGACATGTGGCGCCGTCCTGTTGAAACCACATATCAGTGATATCCACGTCATCAATAATAGGCCAAAATTCGCTATGTTTTGGATAACCCCAATTGTTAAGAACGTCGCGGAATTGATAAATTTGGATCTGCTTCAACACTGTGGCTCACAGCTGCTATGCTTTCAGTTGAACGACCCGGTCGAACACGCGTTGGTGTTGGCACATTTTGTATCGAGCCTGTCGACTCAAATTTAAAACGACTAAATTCTTAATAGCGGTCACAAAAGGACTATTATGTTGTCCGAAAATATCACGAATTTGACGAAATGTAACTGTAACAGTACAACTATATTCATAGTGGATTTTAATTATTTTAATTCGATTTTCAAGCGAAATTGAATTCGTCGTAACAATTGCCAATGCATCTACTACGAATACGTCAAAAAACTAAATGTCAATACTATATTCTTGTTGAACAACCGTGTATTATAGGCATTTAAGGTAAAAAAACAACCCTTGCTGAGTTCTTGCCGGTTCTTCTCAGTACAAGGCCATCTGCTGTAGATTTACGATAGCGCAGTCTATCGACCATCATTGCGTACTGTCTTGTCTTGTTTGTCTTGACTTTACTGAATGAACGATAATGAACTTTGAAACATTGTGTAACCCGCGATTACTAATGGTGATGGTGATTAAATATGGTACCTGCCTGTTTTGTAAGAACAGTAATCCCAGTGTAAAGATCCTTCAGTTTGTTTCCTCGAGCAAGATATAGTTATTATATCAGTCGTTGTACCTTCGTAAACGTAGTTTGAATCCGATGTTTCATAAAATTTTCCATCCCCCCCTTCCAACGTCATTTTTGGAGGTTCTGAAAAACGCAATTAAATAATAATACTATGTCTTCTAAACTCACAAAAAAGTTACGTCCCAAAAACTGTGGGGGATAGCGAATCGGTTGGAGTATGTTCAACAATCTAATTTCCTTTATTTTAATTAGGTTTAGACTTACAGGTGTCCGCTAATGTTAATATATTTTAATAAACAGTGTTTTTTAAGCACCAATTCATATTTAACCGAATAATGTAAAATTATATACGTTTTTTGCATTTTCTACAAGTTTCATGGGTTTTATATTAAATAACTGGTGTGGTCAGTGAAAACATACAAAAATAAAAAGACAATTTCTGTTTTATTATTGTTATGTTAATGGGCGTGTTTAACAAATCTACTTAAACTAAAAGTTTGTTTGTTTGGTAGAACTCGCTTATCTCAGGAATAGGGTATTTGACAAGTTATAGAAAAAGATCTCACGTTATTGACATTAGTCAACTTTTTACGGACTTAAACATTAGTTTATGTCCGTAAAAAGTGGATATTCATCATTCTGTTGTGTATTCCAGTAAAAAAAAAAAACCAAATCAACAACTCCATTTTCAAGTTGCCGCGAAAACGCTTTTCTGGACAATATGGCGTCTTACTGGTGTGTGACGTCACACGACTGTTATTAAAACGTCAAACGATACAATGTAATGTCACTTTAACCGGAAGTTTACTTGCGTGTGACGTCATTTTTGGCTCCCCTAATCCCAAGAGTTTTGGGTCACGTGACAAAAGATAAGAATACTATTATCTTTTTCTTGGGTTTTTAGTAAAATTATGAATATTTTTTCTGTAAAAATAGTAAAAACCCCTGCCAATATTCTACTAAACACAGATGCTAACAATTGGCACTTTATTTTTAATACTGTCTAATACCCTATTACTGATTCAAACAGAAATTTTATTTTTGTTACAGCAGAAAGCCTATTTAACGACATAACATCATGATTAAATTAATAGGAGAGAAAAATTAATAAAAAATGTTGTGAAGATGGGAATAAAAATTTTGTAAGCGGATAAAGTTACACAAAAATCATGTATGTAGTAATATTTCTCCTCGAAAAGTTCTAAAAAAAAGTCCGCGACAATAACTATCTTTTAAGGTTGACTCACTATAATTTTTTTGTTAAAGTAAATAAAGTTGTTCTTAAATAATGCATTATCTGCGAATGTGTTTTTGTAAACATCTTATAATTATTCTAGTATAACAATTTTTCATTGTTTCTTTTAAAAAAAGACTCGGCTTCAATGGAAGAGCAGCTCAAAAGTTTGGCAGTGGCAACTTCAATGTCTGATGTAACTTTGTTATTACTAATGTATAGATTATAATCTATCTTTCTGATTTTAGACTTTCCAGTTTCATTATTTATAATATTCCAGGTCATTTTTATTTTGTTATTACTGTTTCGGTTTTTTGTTTTGGCTGAGATATTTGGACTTGGCCATTCTGGAAACTTTTTAAAATAATTTTGATTAACTCTACACTTTAATATCTTCTGACTGCTTTCGACTGTAGTAAGTGTCGTTCAAGAGTTTCTTATACCAGTATTGCCAATATACTAATGTATTTGACACATTTCGCTTATCAATATATAGGGTGAAATTGAATGTTTTAATGAAACTTCGTGTGATTGTTGGGTTACGTGTATAGAGTATGCCTGATTTTTTTCGGATTTTTTCGAAGTATTTTTTTTTCATGTTTTTATTTATAATTTGTGTATTTTTATGTCCTTTCCACCTTTAGAGTAGTTTATTCATTTTAAACACTGTACTTACATATTCAGTGAAAAAAAAAAACTAATAAATAAGCACTAATATCGAAACGGAAAACAGTAAAATTAAGCGGGTCAACGACCGCGCCCGCCAGTTGTTGAGTGAGTAGTTACACAGAGCTCAGCTGACGCGACTCCTTTGATTTCACACAATACAATAATATCGTCTTAGATGCCAAATTTATTGAAATAATAAGCACAAATGTCTCTTAAGCAGAGAACACCCTTAAAAGATAATAATCATTTTGTCGCGATTGGAAATAGGCAAATGTTAAGCCATAACAAATACTTATTGCAGTTAAATACTTGGGTCAAAACGAAATTTATAACCAGGTATTCAAAAGTACTTACGAGACCGATGTACCTATAATTTTTTTTCACTATAAGTTCCCGTAGGTATACACTTTGTAAATAGAATCAATCACCAAACCTACTTTCGTAAAGCCTTTCGGCTTTGCTGAGTATTTCGTGACACTCGCAATAACAACACACCATGTGCAAATTCTTATGTCGAGGCCACAGAACAAGAACTAATCGAGGCATTATTTGTAAATCTTGTCTTGTCACAAAGTTAAAAGATACGCACGCGCGATGGATAGACTTGAGACTGCGTTCGCTTATTGCGCGTTGCACCGCACATAGGTGGGTAGGTAGGTATTCAACGGCGGGAGTGATCATTGCTCCCGGCCGGGCGTCTTTTGTGTTTCCGTTTTTTATGCAGTGCTTATTAGCTGTTTTTTACTTACTCTGTATGCGTTTTTAAAAAGAATAATTATTTAGTACCCAAAGGAGGAAAGAACTTAAAAATAACAAAAAAAAAATTTTTATCATTTTAAAAAACCGAAAAAAAATCGGAGATAATCTATATACGTAACCCAACAATCCCACGAAGTTTCATTAAAACATTCGATTTCATCCTATATATTATAAAAATGTATGTATTGTCAAGCTAAATGTATCAATTTATTATTAAATTAAGTTCTACTCACCATCAGGTACTAAAACTAAATCTAAAGTTATATCGTGTGATCTATAATCGGGACTTCGATATGAACATATTATACTTGAATAATTATCTGTCCTCTGTAATGTGAAACTGGCGCTTACATTATTCAAATCAGTAGATTTATCTTGTTGTGTTAGTTTATCTGGAAAATTTTCATTTTTGTTAAGCCGCAGTCGCAATCTAAAATCCTAGCACATCAACATAGATTTTTGTATTAGCTATCTGTAAACTTTAAAATAGTAAAGTATAACCTAATAATATGCTCTAAAGACACTGAATAGGCATCATTTTTGGCCGTCATCAAGATGGCCAAAAGTGATGAACGTACAAGAAAAGTCTATGTATCCTTATTACTTCTAAAATAAATATTAAGATAAATTGCGTCAATAAAATTAAGTGAATAGACCGAGTCTCTAGATTCACTCTTAATTAGAAATTAGACAGTAAATTAAATACATAGCAAGAGTTAACTTGAACAAACTACATATATGGTGTTGATGTGTTCTGTTGGTAAGAAAGACAACTCGCAGCTTGACTCCACTTACACTGAAGCATGGGTGGGATGGGGCCATTTTCTATGAGTCGTTTATATAAGAAATGGTTACAGTGCGATTGAAAGCCCCCCTAGACAACGGCTAACTAGAGCCAAGGTCCGAGTCTCAAAGACGTCTAGTTGAGTCGACCCCCTTAGGTTTGATTGGTCTAGAGGCTCCAGACGGAAAGGAGACTCCCTCCGTGGGGAGATGCCATCCGTCTGGAATACCTCTAAAGGCACTCGCAATTCTCGGCTTAGGTCCTCTTAGGATCTCGCCATCCCCAAACCCGGTGACGCTTTAAAGGTCATATGCGACCAACAGCATATACACTCAAAAAAAATGCGAGTGTGCTTATGACCACACGACTGAAGTGAAACTTCTTTAGCTCCATCTGTATCAGTATATATATATATATATATTATCTTCAAATTTTGTATACAAAAAGCTAGTTTGTCTTTACGTCCAATACCCGTATTGGACGAAAGAAGCGGGGGAATCGCACTACATCATACTTTTTACACGTAAAGGACATTGGGCAAAAATGTATGGACGCTGCACCCGCGTCCGCCACGGCTTAAACTACATTTGTCTAAAATATATTATAGTCATGATCATCTGTGACAAATCCAATCAAATTCCATCCCGGGGCTCAAAACGTACTTGTACCTCAAATAGGTACAAGTACTATAACGATCAAACATTAATAAACGAGGGAATAGGGGTGATGACGGCGTACAGTAAACGAAATTCTGTTTAGTCCGTCAGTTAGATCATCAAAAAATAATGAACACGTATTTTTTCTTTGGGCGATCAACCAAAAAATTACAAAATTATAGCGCGTCAAAGTTTGGGAGTAGGGGCTTATGACGTCACTTTTGAGTGAAAATTGTACCAAAACGTGACGCCATGCGACTTTTCAAATCAATATATTTCTGCAATTTTTATATTATGTGAAAAAAGAAAAAATACGTGTCCAATACTTTTTGATAATCTACCTGATAAACGAAGAAAAAAAATTGTCTTCATCCCTATTAATTTACTTAGTTACTTCGATCCAAAAATCCCCGCTTGGGCTGGGTTGTTTTCAAACAGTCTGTTCGTTATAGTAAATTGTCTGCTACGTAAAACGGAGCGACCACAAATACCATGATTCCAGCTCATCCATACCAATTTATAAAAACCGATAATAGTGTTCCATTGTCTTAATATTGTTAGTTAAAAATCAAGTGCCTGTCACTTGATTTTGCGCGCAATCACAACGAAGTAAGACGAAGGACTGCATATGAGTTGACCAGTTGTAACTGCAAGTCCTTCAACCACCGTACCCCGTAAACCGTTTTCAGGTGTCACAGTAAGTGCAAGCGCAGGATAGTCGACAGGCTTTGGCAGGATAGACGATATGGTACATTATTATGGTTACTAATAATATAAAATGATGGTACTATTTAATGAATTTTTTTAGCTGCTCATATATGCCCATGTGTTCGATTCGATTACCAGGATATATTTTTACGGCGTCATAATGAAAAAAGGCAAAATCTTCATAAATCTTCTGATTCGAGGAGTTGGGTGTTTTTTGTCCATTGTCCTGGAATTCCATGCAATCCCGTCACGTCAATTTTTTGTCACCTATTAAATACTCACTTACCACGCAATTGAAAAATTGTAAGTGTGGCTCCCTTCGGTAGATTACTGCTCTTAAGAGAGAGGCAACTACAGGTAATGGTCAAGTGATCACCCGCTTTGTAATGGTAGACACCATTTTTAAAGAGCTCCTCTTTAATATTGTCTTTCGCATTAAAAATTGTCAATGAGAGCTTGTCTGAAAGAAACTAGCGATGATTCATATTATATTGAAATAAAATTTCATAAGAAGCTCGATAGCGCAAGTGGTAAGGGGCACAAACCTTCCTTATAGAAGGAATAGGAAGATTGGGCAATGACGTACAACCCTCGTTGTGCCCAGTGTGGATTAGTGGGTGCTAAGAACTGCAGATGCAACCAGGATCAACAGCTAGAGGTGCCTTCCCGAAGCTTGGAGGAGTTATAGATAATGAATAATTCGTCACCTATCCTAAGACCGGCTATTGAGAGAGTTGCTGCACTTCCACGATTGCAGACGGAATGCGCTAACCACTTGCGCCGTCGAGCTCCTCGATGTTGTTTCATAATAATTAATGTATTTTTATTAAATTGACGTCAAACGAGACTAAGTGGAACAGTCAATCAGGTACTCACGTTTTACATATAATGTCATTTGACATGTTAACTGCCGGTATGTATGACCTAAATAGTTAACGCTCCTGTCCTCAATATATTTTACGTCTCTTTCCGTATAAATCCAACAATTCAATTGTCCTGTCGAAGTATCCGTTACTTGAAACAGCTGTGAACAAAACGGAGAAACAAAGATTTTTTTCTTTATAAAAAAAGTGGACAAGCTCTCTGCCCGAGGAAAATATAAAAACATCTCAAATCCGACTGCAGCGCCACCTATTGAGTACCTTCAATTGTAAGTTCCGTTCCGTATGAACTTTCTACAAAGTATTACAGTCATTCTCAAGTTACGGTGCCACCGAGGGAAATTGGGACTATTCTATACCTATTAAAATATAAAAATATTATTAGAAATATTAATATTTCATTTGGTCACGCCATAACATATTAATCATGGACCATTCAACAGAGCCTTCAATAAGTTAATTTGCACAAAGTGTTATTTCATTCAAAGATATTTAAATATATCATTTTTAGATGAGAACGACGAAACAGTGCGGAGCTTCCGTCACTTGCGTCATCTGCTGCCGGACGCGATCGGATGTCACCTCATCCGTGCGTATCCTTTCCGATCCGATGCGATGCGTGCCGTTTGATAGAACTCATATTTTAATCCAAATAAGGGACGGAGATGCAGTACATTCAGTACATCCCACCGGTGAGTACCTGTTACTACATTACACAGGTGGTGTCCTTGGATCAAGTATTTCGCTATATCTCTCCCTCTCACTTGTTAAAAAAGTTGATAACAACAAGGGAAAGAAAATCAGACATTTTAATGAAGGATTTTCCGAAGTGCGTTGTCTTTTAAGAAGTTATAATAGGGCAACTGTTCCATTTATCCATACTAAGATCTTTGCTAGTATGGAAGAACAGAACGTTTTTCCACTAGTCAGGGGTTCAAAAATCTTGTAAGTCGGACATACTATCCGCAATCAAAAATCAAAAAAGAAATTTTATATTTTTACTTACTACAGAAGTCACGTTCTTGTGATCATTGCCCTGTACTTCAATTCGCCCTTCGCCAATATAACACCTAAAATCAAATTTGTCGTTTGAAAAACATGCAGAGTTCACAATTAAAGTTGTGGGATATCTACATCAAATATGTGGTATACCATCGTAAGGGTCATTTGACAGGTGATGATCATACCGAGGCAAACTTAAGAATATCCCGGGGCTGTTGTAATCTTAAAAGCACCCACGATGCCCAAAAATAATCTTGGAAGATAAATAATAATAAAAATAAATGTTTATTGAATTTCGTTTTACAATAAAGTACTTAATTCTAGACATAACAAAAGATTTATGTAACTTATACTATAGCCTGAACCAGGTAAACCTGTGTTTCAGGCAAAAGTCTTCTACAACTTAATTTATGTATCATCGTAGGACATACTTAGTAAGGCATCGTGAATAATAAGTTTGGCGTGTTTATAATTTAGACTATATCTATTTAGTTTAACATTTAGCCGGTTGCATAAAAATAGCCCTTGAAATAAATAAAATCTGGAAGCGAAGCTATGCTTTGTAAAAATACTTTGCGGGTAAACCATATCTTTCCGTCTTTTGTTAGTTGTGTCAATATTCAATGGGAGTGCGGCATGTTGTTTTAGAACTGTGTGCATTATATATAGGTACAATTGCCTGACAGTTAGTACTTAGCAACACTTATACAGAAGATTAGTGGGATAGAGAAATGAATGGAAAGAAGAAACCTTCAAAACGGCTCTCTGGGCTCTCTCAAGATTGAATACTGATGGTTTAAATGTACCACCCCAAGATGTAATGCAGTAAGTTAGTATAGACTGACATAAAGCACAGTACACTTGTTTGATTAATTTTGAATCTGCCATAACGCGCAGTTTTTTAAAAACCAATATTAATTTACGGACTCTATTGCTCAGTGCATTAATATGCGGCCTAAATGAGAGAGCTTCGCCAATGATTATACCGAGATATTTAATTTGATTAATACCATCGGCAACTGGATACTGGATCTGGCGATTGGTAGGGTCTTCACAAAAATGAACATACAATTTTCTGCTTAGCCCTAAAGCAGTCATGGCGTTGCGCTTACTAAATCTGATATTGGTCGCGGGCCAGCGGCGCGCGGGTAGTGAGCCGCAGCAGCAGCCTGTCGACGCGCTGCAGCGCCGCTGTATTTAGTTTTGTCGGAGTTAAGTGTAAGCAGATGCTGCTGCAGCCAGCTGTTTACAATGTTGAAGCCGTTTTGTGTACATTTGTGAACTTCTACTTCAGAACTTGCAGAAAATAGTAAGACATTATCGTCTGCACAAGAAATTATTCTGCCACTTTCCAGTTTCAGATTACACAGGTCATATATGTACACCAAAAATAGAGTAGGGCCTAAAATACTTCACTGGGGAACCCCATAACAGGTATTGTCTAGATCTGAACTAATAACATTACCTATTTTTACACCCTGATTGCGTTCGCATAGATAATTCTCAAATAATTTAAGCTGGGTGCCTCTTATACCCGAAGATTCTAGCTTATGCAACAAGATCGGTACGGAAACTGCATCGAATGCTTTTGCTAGGTCAACAAATATACCTATTGTCTTATTACCTTTATCGAGCTCCTGTACTAAATAGTCAGTAAGTTGATGAACAGCATCGGCAGTAGATAACTTTTACCTAAAACCAAACTGATTTTTGGATAGTATAGATTTGATTTCCAAATATTTCATGAGTCTATTGTTATAATTTTTTCCAAAATTTTTGAAGAAGCGAAATGAGTCTAGTTTGTTACCTGATCTCTACTGCCAGATTTAAATACAGGATCAACGACTGCTTTTTTTAAACATTTGGGGAAAATTCCTTTAGTTAAACCCTTTTGGAAAATATAAGTTAGCGGTGGAACGAGGATGTGCTTGTATTGTTTTGTATTTTATTTGAGATATTATCCCATTCAACTGCAGAATCATCTTTTAGGCATATGTTATTATACTTGAAACTTCAGCTTCGTCAGTTTGTAAAAGAACAAATGAATATATATTATTTGTGCAACCTGTCTGAATAGATGAAAATGACCTAGATTTGCGATTACGCACATTTTTGTCAGATTTTTGCCAATATTGACAAAAAAAATATTTGCGCAATTTGCAGATGTTAACTGTGACTGTAGACCTAATATCATTACAAAAGATTCGGTACCTTTTATAAGACTGTTGCAATATTAAATTACAGGGATTTACTTTAGCCTTCATGTAATTAGTCTCTATGTCTCATACAGCGAATTAGTTCTAGAGTAATTAATCCAGGGCTTAATATTGTTATTATTGTTACACAATTTTATTAATATAGTGCTTTTAGATATTGCTTGTTGTACATTATTTACTAAGTAAGACATACTGGATTCCGCGTCATCGCAACAATAAACTGGGTCAAAGTCAATTTCACTTATTTTTTGTCTAAGTTTATATGCATAGAATTTAGTAAATGTTTGCGTGTGATTTAGTTTCGGAAAATTACGATTTAAGTTTAGTAGGACGGCTCTGTGATCTGTTATTGAGGAGTTAGTAACTAATCATTGATGGAAACTTGGATTTTATCATGATGTGATCTAAGAGCCACTTTGATGAGTGGAAGCGTTAAAAAGCGCGAAGTAAAACGTTTTTGTTGGCCTTTTACCATATATATGCTGCTCTGATAATACTGAGACAGCTTCGATCGGTAGCCAGGTGTACCTACGCCTAGCATACTCACCACAGAATTCCGGTAGGCATTTCAAGAATGTCAAAAATGAAACGTAGTTCTGAAATAGTCCGAAATTGTACCCAAACAAAATTAAATATTACTCTTCTACTTAAAAAGAGACAGTATGGTGAGTATGTAACGTAGTTTACTCCCAGCATACTCACCTGTTTGGTTTTCCACCGTGAGCGGAGCGAGCCCATTAATGACGCATGTATTCATTTTTGTATTTACCTCGTAATACAAAAATGAATACATCTCGTTCCACCAACAGAGTCCAGCGAAAATGACAAAGAGATTAAAAAAGTAAAAATGAGCTCGCTCATTTCTAGGAGAACGAAGCCAACTCATAAATGAGTCCTTTCAACTCGCAATCGAATTTTACATAATAGCATTTCCACCGAAAAAGTGCTGAGCGAGAATACCGAAAGAGTATCAAAATATCTAGATATGCCATATGCAATCCATTCTGGCGTGCGTTGCAAAAACCGTAAGAGTTACATGAATTTAATGTATGGTGGAAATGTAAATCTCAAATAATTCTACAAAAAGTTTGCATTAGCATATTATGTCTATCGTTTATGTGTAAGCTATCAGCTAAAATAGTGAATCGAAAAAACAATAAAATTTTATAACATATACGGGACGTAGGAAAAGTAAATAGAATACTTGAAGTATTAATCCTGACCAGATGAAGTCGCAAGCAGAAGCTTAAGTATAATTAATATTATAAAACTGAAGAGTTTCTTTGTTTGGTTGAACGCACTAATCTCAAGAACTATTGAAATGGATTGAATTTGTGTCGTGTTGCATAATCCATTTATCAATGGAGGAAACCATGCTATGACCAATAAGTCTTTGAAAAATGTTTCAAACACGGGGAAAATATTCCTTTTCAGAGCTTCCGTTGCATGCGCTGCGTTAATGGTTATAGTTCCACAAGAATCATGTATGACTGCATGCTCACCTTAGAAAACCTAAAGATATTTCGCGAGGATTGACTCTCTACAGAACCTCTTTCCTCAAATGGACAGGGTGATTTGGCAGGGCACAGCTAGTAACAAATTAATAAACAACCATGTCTCGGGAACAAACTGGACAAGAAGTCTGGATCGCTGCCGTTGCATCAAACAACAAGTCGTATATATGATAGCAAAATCTTAATGAAAACTCACCAAAAATAGTTCATGTACAATTTGCTTATTAAGTTGAAGTAAATAGTATCGAATACTTGAACATGCACCGTATTGGAATCATTCGAGCACATGAATGTTTTTGTTGTTTTGTCTCGATTATTATCCAGAACTGTTATAGTCATATTGACTTCTGAAAAAATCAAAGTTTTGTATTGACAAAGCCTTAATTATACGCTTACTTTAGTAAAACCCATGTGTGTGTGGGCAGCGATCGGGTTATGGGACGTATATACATATAACTAAACTTCAAGAACTTACTGAGTACTAACGATAAAAAAATCAAATTTCAAGTGAAATTTCTAATTACACAGCATGAATCGGTAATTTCATGGCACTTACTACACGAGTACACCAAAAATTAAAACTCCGTGTCAGTTTCTAACAATCCCGTGAAGATCAAGAAAATCCCATCAATGGACTGGGCTACCTTGAAAACTATTGTGTTTGATTTGCTGTCCATGTTAACTTATTTCTTGATTATAAACTGAATTATTAGTACTCAAATACTAAATAGGTTTCATAGGACGTGCCTTTTGTTTCGGGAGAACATCATAAACCAACTTAATCAACGTCAAATTTGGTGTCGCAGAGGTGTAGCTATGGAGCCTTGTTTACACCAATGTATATTTATCCGTCATCATTAATTTCATGGTCCACAAAGGTTGAATGTACTAAATGTTTACATATTATGCAATTATGTAAGTAGTTACTCACCTGCTAATACTTGGCCGAAGATGCAAAATGCACAAATTACGGAAATATAAATCATGGTATGGACGTACATTGTTATTGACATCAAGTATACTAAGCCAGTCAGACAATTACAGTTACAGGAATAAGTAACGAGTGCGTGTCACGTGACATGGCTGTGACCATATCATATACCAAATTAAGGACATTTTTTTAATGCTTAATAGGCAAGGCGTTTGACCACAATCTCACCTGATGGAAAGCGACGATGAGGCCTAAGATGGTACACGCCTGCCTAGAAGATGTCTGTTCACTCTGGACTTGAAGATGTCCAAATTACATTGGTCCGGGAAAAAACTTACGATACAGACGAGGAAATATTATGCTACTCTCGAACGATTTTAAAATGAATAAAATATCCTCTATTTTACGCACGCTACGTAACAAGCTTTAATTAAAAACGTGGGATATAATGTACACCTATAAAATGGTAAATTTTATGTTCGACTTAAATTATTTTTAACTTTGTAGTTACTTTTGTTAACAGGTAATAAAAGCTTGTTTTTCATTTTTTAAGTGTTTTTATTTTCGATTTTTAGTATTTCTGTCCTGCTGTACTTGTATAAATCGTCATTTCTAGTTTATGTGTTGTGTCCTTTGTTGTGTGCAATAAAGAATTTTATTCTTTTAAGACTTTTCTTTTAAAATTACATTCCAAGCACATAAAGTATGTTTAAAAAAGTATAGTTTCAAGTTCTTTTATTTATAAAAATATGTTTTCAAAATTTTTAAACGAGACTCACTATAACCCATAAAAGTTAACTTGTAACCTGAGCGCAGTAGGTAGTACAAAACGGCGCTCAAGTCTCAAGTTAACTCTTACGGGCTACACCTGCCAATGAGCACGATTATTGAAATGCAACTGTATAGTATTTAGACAGAGTATCTTTTATTCAAAATTAAAGAAACATAAGCGATTCTCATATACAAACTAATGTGAAGGATGAATCTGATGCTGTTTAATAAGTTTGTTGATATCAGGTTCCAATTTATTCAAGATCAGCCGCAAGTCTTTTCTATAGGCAAAATGCTCGTCAAGACGAATCAAACGTGCCCTAACTGGATGGGGTTGCTTCGTTTCATTACAGAGTTCCTATGGCGACCGTCTAGCTCCATTATCAGAACAGATCTTCCTATTATAACGTACTATTCCATATTATTGCAATGTCACCAGATAATCACAAGTATGCCAAATTTCAGCTGAATCAGCTAACACGAAGTGGTCGAAAAATGGTCTACAAATTTTGAAACTACGTAATTACATACGAACAGTACAAGTTAAATAAAAGCTTGTAAAAACACATAAAATAGTTATAAGACATTTGATAAAAATAATTTTTGATTTCTTTAAATTCAAAAATCATGGTTAACGTATTTCTATCAACAGTCGGGAACAAGAATGAGGATAAAAGTTATTTAATGTTGTATTGTCACCTCTCACATACAAATTAATTTAATCAAATATTTCTGACAATAAATTGAATCACGTTAGAATCACGAATAAATTGTTAGTTGTCGGACTCTGGCCCATTCTTTATATTTCATCCAAAGGGAAGGCCTGTTCTTCTGCAGTGGAGAAAGAAGGCATATACACCTTACGGGGCTGGCAGAACACCAAGGCTGCAACTTGAGCAGAAGTGTATCTAGTCCATATAGCGCCCGCGTGCAATCGTTACCGTAACGCCCTCTAGTAGGCACGCAGTCAAAATGTAATGGGGGCGAGTGGCAGTTGGCGGCCCTGAGGCGGCTGCACCCCTGTACTACGCACAACCTGCACTAAAACGATTCGCACACCACATCTTGAAATGCGCTTTGAATTAAAGTAACGCAGTTCTTACGTTGCTTGAAAGGCTCTTTGCATTGAAATGCACCTAATGCAGCACACAGAAAATGCATTCACTCGCAATATTGCAAATCACGCGCCTACAACATACGCGTTTGTATGGCGAAATCTGCGTAATGATGCAGATTGCACTACCGAAACCATGCGCGTGTTTCCAAATGTCCGGTTATAGACTTTTACTGTCAACACTGAAAAGATAGCTTCTGGGTCATGCGCATGGATTTCTTTTGCTGCCAGTCCTGCATAACGCCACAGAATCCAAATCTAACAGTAAGGAAGCTACATACAAACGCTCAAAATGACACACGCCCACAGACGCACGTCGCTACATGGCCCCTCGGGGGTTCTCGGGGGACCGTTAGTCTAAAATGAAATGAAAAGTCATTTATTCAATTTAGGCTGTTATAAGCACTTGTGAAGGTCAAGAAGCTACGCCATCGGTTCGCAAAACTACGGCGGGAGACCTTGTACTGAGAAGAAGAAACTCAGCAAGGGCTGTTTTTTTCTCCCTGTATTGTTAAATACAGAGTCGTCAAGTTGAAAAATGACTTCAGAGATACGTCTGAAGTCACCGTCTATTACATCATTTAGAATATAAATATATAGTTACAATAAATTTTATAGTTAACATTATATTTAGTATATAGGAAGCGGCATTAGATAGGTACAATATTACTGTTATGAAAAATGACTAATACCCATTAAATAACAAATTATAAGAAACACTATGTCCATGCATTACGATCATTCAGATAATCATCAACTTTATAATAGCCCTTATTGATAAGAGTATTTTTGATCTGAGATTTAAATTTAGTCAGTGGAAGCTCAATCAGATCTAAGGGAAACTATATTAAACAATGCAATACTACAACCCAGAAATGAACCTCTTGATTTTTGGGGTCTGAAACATGGAACGGCAAGCTTGTTCTTAAATCTCGCGTTAAAGTTATGGGTATTGCGGACCTCTTTGCTATTTTGATAGCTAATGTAGTTTTTTACTCGTTGGTTGCTTTTGACGTTGTCTGTTCTATTTACCTATTTCTTTCTGTTGGCTTGATTTTCTGCTTTTATTAAAAAATAATTATTCTTCAACTTGTATCATTGTTTTATCATTCGCGGAGATCAATTTGGTTTGTTCACTTCAATGGGTTTGACTTTTTTTGCAAATGCATCATAGTTTTTTCTTACATATATTAAATTTTCATATATGTATTGCGACGCCAGTGTTAAAATATTAATTTCTTTAAATTTTTCTCTAAGGGATTCTCTTGCCTTTAAATTGTATATGGCGCGAACAGCTCTCTTTTGCAGTATAAAAATACTTTCGATATTAGCGGCTGAGCCCCACAACAAAAGGCCATATGACATAACACTATGAAAGTAACCAAAGTAAACTAATCTTGCCGTTTCCACATCAGTTAAGAGTCTTATTTTTTTAACAGCGAAAGCTCTAGAGCTCAATCTACTTGACAAGGCATCAATATGAGGATCCCATTGCAGACGAGAGTCTAAAGTAATACCCAGAAACTTTGTAGAATCCACTAACTCTACAGACTGGTCATTTATTTTTATACTAGTATTAACCTGCCTCACATTAGATAGAGTAAACTTAACGCATTTCATTTTACTGGAGTTAATTTTTTAATTATTTACCGTAAACCAGTGAATTACTTCAGAAAGAGCACAATTTACTTCGTCATAACGATCATTTCCTCTTCTAGCTTTAAACAATAAAGAGGTGTCATCAGCAAATAGTACTGTCTCACATAAATCTCTTGTAAAGTGAGGAAGGTCATTAATATAAATAAGGAAAAGCAATGGGCCCAATATTGAACCCTGGGACACGCCCTTAGAAATGGGTGCTCCTGTAGACTCATCTTCATTTATAACTACTTTCTGAATCCTAGCAGAAAGATAAGACTATATCAATTTAGTGAAATATTAGATACAACATAATGCTTCATTTTATTTAACAATGTTTCATGGTTAACGCAATCAAACGCCTTTGATAAGTCGCAAAAAATGCCAATAGCATCGTGCTTACTCTCCCATATATCAAAAATGTGTTTGAGAAGTGCAGTTCCAGCATCAATAGTCTCGTGTGCCGCGTTGGGACGAGCGGTCACTCTTTTTAAACCATATTGAGTGAGCTGTCCGCGGACTTTTTAAACATACCACGAAGGTATTGCGCAGTATACAGCTGCTTAAATTCGATGTCTTCGAAACTGGCGTTTATATTTTTTAAACTTTAATAATAAAGCATTTCGAACGTGTCGTAGCAGGCCAAAGTATTTTTCAGTGAGTAATTGATAATAACAAAAAATAAAGACTTCTTAAAATTATGAAGATTTCTTTAATTATTTAATCACTAATGGGTGCCAGGGACTTCGCCTATGTGAAAATTTTGTTTTCCCATACAACATCCCTTTTCACCACACTAGAGGATGATTTGTGGGATAAAAACTATCTTTTGTCCTTCGCCGGGACTCAAAGTATCTATATACGAAATTTCATCTAAATCGGTTCAGTGTTAACCGTGAAGAGGTAACAAATAGACACACTTTCGCATTTATTATGATAATATGTATGAATGGTTTAATTAAATTTTAATTTACAAAAATTAAGAGTGACAACCATAACGCTCAATCGATGCGTAGGTATTTATCTCAACAAAATGGCTTAGTTGCGGTACTGCTTTAGCTTATATATATATAGGGTAATGGCACCAGTGGTCAGCCTCATAACGACTTTTTGAAGTTTGGAAAGCTGGCATTTTTACAGGATTCGTCGGATAATGAAACGTAGTACATGATTGGATCAATTGTTTATTATAGTTTTTAAACAACATATGTTAAAAACAATCTTTCTCTTTATAAAATATATATTTAAATTCAAACAAAAAATGGCACCTTTGCCCAGTGGTCAGCCTCTAAAATCCAATAATCAGCCTCGATGAACCCAGTATTCAGCCCTTATAACTATTCATAAGCATGAGATCAAAATGAGCAGTATTTATATCAAAATCAACGATATTATTTAGTTCTCTCTTATTATTTATAGCTAAATTTATCAAAACAAAAAAAAACACCTGACTGAAATATTATTGCAAGCAAACAGTCACAGTACTTATTTGTGTTCTTATTTTTTGGAACTCAATCATAAAAACATCAATATTTATTTATACGAAAATCAACGACATTAGTATGTATGCATTTTTA